GAGGGAGGGAGGGAAGGAAAACACTGACGTAACTATCTTTTTTTAAAATAATTCTCAATATATTTCTTCCACAGTAGAAGAATTTCAAAATTTAAAATACAAAACATGCATCTTTTTGTTTGAGACTGTCAAGTGCACATTAATATCACATTAATATTATTAAACACTAACTATTTTTATTTAAAGAAATCAGTAAAAATTTAAAGTTACAACAGTAATTTCCAATCAAAATGTAAAGAATAATCTTAAAAGTTGAAAGAGTCAGCTCGGTGATATATTTTTACACTACGCCCAGCAGGTATTCAGCGAATAACGGTAGAAACAACTCCAAGTGGTTATAAGATGATTATACCTCGTAAGTAGCTCTGTCATCCATACGCAGTAATTGATTGACATCAATGATGCATGCGCATGGTCAACATTAACAGTACTCATTTTGTTTCGAACGTTAATAACAATAGACGAGATTAGAAAAGACCGCGCGGTCTCAAGACGACGCGCGCCATGGATTTCGAGGTCGTTCGCATTAAGGTGTCGTACAATGTTGTGCTATTTGTCGCGCCACCTCGATGCATTCTATTTAGTATGACATTAAGAAGCAAACTTGGGGTACGGATATGCCGTTTCGTGTCCATGCCATGACCGTATCCAAGTAATTTGGCTGCGCATTTGATGATTACGCAATACGACTAATGAACAATGTAAGCAGTGATATCGCGCAATGTGATTGGTTCAAAGGATGTCGTCAACTTTGCACCATGTGAGTGTTGTGTTCTGTACTCTCAGTAGCCGTCATGCATACAATGTTACCTTCGAGACACAGCCTCGCTCATGAAGACCACGTCTTGAGTCCGCGTCGTCTTTGCTCAATCTGTTTGATTATTGTCGGAAAACGCAATATAACTGACTTTGTTAAATCACCTAGAGTTATAGTAAAAAAACTGATCTTATGTCTCTTCGCATTAAATACTAAACTCCATAATGTTCTAATATACTGCTATGCGTTGGTATTAAAGTAGTTTTACTGCAAATAAGTCAACCCTACTCCTTGAAATAATAAATATTTCTTAAAATAACCAAAAACACAATAGAATTAGATTTTCGTATTTCCGAGGCAGGAATTTGATAATGGTAATCAATTTAACACACTCTTCTTCTACTAGGTCTAAATAGACTGTGATAGGCATAGCAATTTAAGCTTATGGTGTTGGGCAATAATCAATATAATGGCAGTATCTACTAACCGACATTTATTACTCTTTATTCAGTATTTGACCCCCTTTACCCTTCAAGGGGTGTTTGCTTCTTTTTAGATAGCGAACGTGTTTTGGGTCCCTAGTTGTCTAGCTAAGAAAGGGTTAAAACAATTTCCCTACACACTGTTTGATGGATTTCTTGAATGCTTATGAGGAAAGGAAAAGTGGGAGAAATAGTGGAAAAAGAAATAAAGATGTTTACTAGATGATGTAGACCTTTCCCGCATTCAGAGAAGTGACCACAAATAAATGAACTCAAGTCGAGGTTTGAGTAACATATTAACCAAAGCTCGAGTTGGACTGAGCCATTGTTGTGTGTTAATTCGAGCGAATTCGGAAAAGGTGTATTGGGACAACCCAGTGAGAATCTAATCTCGTTAAATATATTTTTTATGGGGGGGGGGGGAAGGGATTTTTGGGGGGAGTGGGGATGGGGGTATAATTGTAGAAAGATTTTTGCCAAGCGGTGGGTTGGATGAGGTCGTTGCTTCCTATATTTAATGAGAGGAGATGATTGTAAAATTTACTGGGATTATGAAGACGAGGGTTGTTGTATAAGTACGTTTGGAATGATAGGCGGTGCTCGAAGATGATTGGAGGGGGAGGGGGGGTAGTAAGACATAACGATAGCCTTTTCCAACAAGCTTATATAACCAATAGCCCTCTAAATGACTTTAACGTTCAAATAATGCTCTCAATTCTTTAAAGATTCTGCAGAAAAAGTCGATGGTTCTACTCAGACTCCACGTGACGAAAAGGAAGATACAGAGACAAGTAATGTAGAAGACGAAGAGAAGAAAAACAATAGTGATGTGTCCTCAGCTGAAGAGAAAGAGGAGGAGGATGAAGAACAAGAAGATAAACAAGGTATTGTGGAAATTAGTTGCTACCTCTAGATGTCTTTTGAATTGGTTTGTGAGATTAGATAATGTATTATTCCTTCCATCCGTTTTCTCTTTTATCGTTCCTTCCTTCCTTCCTTCCTTCCTTCCAGATTTCGAAGACGAAGATAAAAACGAAGAGAAAAGTGTAAAAGACAGCGAGGACGAAAAACCAGAAGACGAAAAAGAAGACTCTGACAAAGAAGACGAGTCTAAAACAAATGAATACAAGGATGACTATAAGGATGACTTTGATTCTGATAAAAAGGAATCAGACAAAGAATCTGATGATGAAACTAAACCTGACGATAGTGATGCTGAAGACGTACATGACGAGACAGAGAAAAAAGATGACGTCATGGAAGAAGATAAAGAGGAGGAAGAGGAGGTTGAAGATGAGACGGAAGAGAAAAAGAAGGAAGAGCAGGAAAAACAAGTAATATTTTAATTCTGAGTTTTCCATTTTTTGGGGGGGGGGAGGGGGTAGAGGTTTTGCACCATCACGCGGCCACGCCCTCAATACAGCTTGGGCTGCCTGTGGTTAGATAAAAGAACAATAAAATCCCTTTGCTCTTAGGAACTGGATTCTTTCTTATTTAAAACGATTGTATTGTTCCTGCCATCTAACATGGCTGCCCTTACGTGATGGTGCAAAACATCTATAGACCATTGTCACGCATCATCATCATCATCATCATCAATGTTCATCATCCACTGTTACAGCAGATTGGGTGCCGGGATCATTTCCAACATTAGCGGGAATGTTCGTTCCCATGAGTATTAAAGCCTTTTCTTTTGCACGTTCAAACTTATTCTGAAGTGCTTGAATGTGAGGCTAGACCGGCAAAATATATATTTCCAGCCAACATGGCTGCAGGTTACAGACTAAAAAGTGGCAGCCATTTCGGCGTACCTAATAATTGAGCTCTTAGCTCAAACGGTTGCACACAAAAAGAAAAAATAATCAGTTGTCCTTGTTGCTAGTTTTCAGCAAATCCATTGGAGTATTCTTTTCCTTCTGTTCGTTTTTCTCTTTTGATTTTCCCATTCATTTCTTCGTTTTTCTGTTTTTTAATTTCATTTTCACGTTCATTTTTTACCAT